TGTGGATTGAGAAGCATACTCTTCCGGGGGTTGGGGCTTTGGGCGGATAAGGTGCAGAGTTTGGTCTTTAGACTTGCATCCCTAAGGGTCCAAGTACCAATGTGTTATGGACTCTGGTTTTCTATATAGGGAATAAATACTACGATTCTCACTGAGTACTCATTATTTAACAACTTGGACCCTTAGGGTATTGTGGATTGGGATGCTGCATGCGAATCCGAGAGGCCTAGACGTAAAACGACAGCTTTCTGCCTTGCTTTAAACTCCTTGCCCCAGACATCCCCTAGCCTCAAAAGCTCTACATACATGAAAGGGTTTCTGGGCTTAAAGTATAAATGACAGGATTAAGGAACCCTGAGACCTCATTCTTGTGGAGTTATAGAGGTACTTGGATGATATCGAGGTTATAAACCCTAGCCTCGCCCAAACTAACATAAAATCCTAAAAGTGCCCTACATAGATTGTCGTCTTTTACAAACAGGGCGATATGGGGTTCCATGTTTGTTTGGGGGAATGTAAACTTTTAAACCCGCCTTAACAGCTCTGTCGTGCGGGAATCCAAGATGCAGGGCTGAGGGCTTCGGATGTAGCCATTGAGGGTTTTGGATAATCTACGACTCCCACGCCGGGTCAAACATACAATTGGTTGCGCAAACCCACTCATTCGCTTGCAAACTGATTTTGTTACATCCCGCATGGGATGGCGATCAGAGGATGCCGGCCAAGACTGCTCTTGCTTGCTTCGCAGCTGCTAGAACCACTAAGAGCGTTCTTCTTGCTGGCGGCAACCACGTTTCGGTTACTTGTCTGAGCCGTGCCTACCCTGAATTCAGACTGAAGCCGCACCCTCCCCTTGCCTGAACCTGACCCCTAAACCTGACGCAACAAAATGATGCGTCATCACATCTTTATGCGCGTACACAGTGCCTCCAGTCTGCAAGCCCTAAACCTTCAACTCTCATCCCCTAGGCCCGGAACCTCTACATCTCAAACCCTGAGCCTCCGAGTTTGAAATCAGGCCATACTTGAAGGTTCAGGGAACTTATATAGTAAGTAGATTCTAAGTCAGGTGAGAACCTAAACCCTAAACCCTAAGCCCTTAACCCTAAACCCTCAACCCTCAACCCTCAACCCTAAACCCCAAACCCCAAACCATAAACCCTAAACCCTAAACCCAAAGCCTTCAACCTTGAAACCCCAAATTCCTCCTAGGCGCGGGATGGACTCCTCGCCCCCCTTCAGGCGGAGTTCCGCAAAGGCCCTGTCGTGAGCGCGGTAAATCGCGAGGTCTTTGACCTCGGGCTTGACAGGGTCTGCCAAAACCTCCCAAGTACCCATAATAATAGCCTTTAACCCCAAAATAACAGGTATATAGGCCATTATCTTGGGTATTTGGGAGGTCTAGGTGGGTCTTGAGGATTTAGGCTAAAGGTTTTGCGGAGATGCCCCAGGTTCATCGCTTGGGGCTCAAGGCATTTGAATTCAACAGTTACATATTATTGGCGTTGAAGATTTCACAGGGACCATCCTGGATTTTGCGTACAAGCCCTCGATGCTAGAGCTTCGAGACCTTGCACAGTAAGGCCTAGGCCTTCGGAACTAATTCAGTTTCCTTGCCTGTGAAGAGCTGGGAAACCAATGTGTATAGCGCGGATTTGTTTTTGGGTTTCCTGGTTTTTTAACATCATCTTTTGCAGCGCTTGGCTGGGTTGCTACCTTGAAAGCACTGCATACTGGGGTAGCAGCAGCAAGGCCCGTCAAGGCAAAACTTTCAGGGATCCAGGGTCCGGGGCTTCTA